GGACGCCCGTCACACGTGAGCTCAGAGTGCCACGTCGCCGAGCTCCAGGGGACGATTTCGCCGAGTAGCGCCACAACCTCTACGGGCGCGTTGGCCCAATCCGAACTGGTTCCAAATCAGCGCCAGATTGCCCCGTCAACGTTCACGCTGGTGAGCGTTTTTTTATTTGGCGTTTCGACATTGGGCGGAAGGGGGGGGGGAGGGGGGGGTCAGGCTCGGGGACTCTGCTAGTGCGACTGTTTGCAGCACTGGGGGCCTGCGAGGGGAGGCTTTCCACATGCTGAAACGGGCGCCCAAAACAGGCCAGACTATTGGCGGCGCGTCACCAAGGGGGTGGGGGGAGGGGGGAGGGCTCTTAGAAGAGGTGTTCTTAGACGGCGACGGCCTTTACATCATAGAGAGGCCCGCGCCTTCTAAGAAGCAGGGGTTGTTCAGAAGCCCTCCCCCTCCCACCACCCCCTGGCGAGGGCCCGCGCCGATCGGCAAACCAAGGAATAACAAAAACGATCCCCTGTCTTACGGTCAGGGACTGGTGCTTGGGGCGCCGGGGCGGTGGCCCGGGGGCCTCCTCCTCCTCCTCCTCCTCCTCCTCCTCCTCCTCGTGCTGCTGCTGCTACTCCTTTCCCTCCTCCCCCTCATCCTTGTCGTATTTCTCATAATATGGCAAAACAAACGGGCTGCCAGATCCGCACCCCTCGCGGGGTGAACGCTCAACTTTTTGCTCTAAGAGGGGGAGATGGGAAGCGCGCGACCACTGAATGTCACGACAGCGTGACTGGCGCAGTAACGTGAAGCAGAAGATCGCGAGGCAAACTGAGATCGCTAGACTCCGACCCCCGTCGCGGCGCGACGACGAGGCGAGGTCGACCCCCGTCGGGGGAGTACACCCCCACGCTTATTAAGAAACCCAGAGTATGTATGGCACGATGTTGTGCGTGTCCTCGCCATCGTTGCCTACAGCCCAATTTCCGACAACGTCGGTGGCATCGCCGTCGTGAACGACTTGGTCGCAGAGGGGGCGGGCATCTACACGGGTCTGCCGATCGCCTGCTCCTGATGCTGGCGGCGGCTTCGATGCTCAGCAGCACGGCAAACTGCTACGAGGTTCTGGGCTTTAACTCGGGACGTCACTTGCCTGGCAGTCGTGGACTGCCTCGTCTTCCCCTGCTGGCGCTACACCCCGCCGGAACGCTCCAAGATGCTGGGCAACTTTGTGGAGCTGCCGATCGCCTTCGAGGCTCGCTCCTGCCGCTCTGGCGGCGCGCCCCTGGAGCTGGCGACGGCTTCCGAGCTCAACATCGCGGTGGAGGGCTACGGGGAAACGGCCACACTCGGGTCGGGCGGAAGGGGGGATAGCAAAGGGGGGGTTTGAGAATCAGCTCACGTAGCTGATTTTCCCGGCGCCTCCCGGCGCCGGGAGGCGGCTATGTATCGAGGAATGGGCCCCTCGGTGAGGCCGAAATCACCTGCATGCAGCAAATTTCGTACCCCCCCCGTTTCCCAATCCCCCCCTTTCGTCCGGCCCGACACACGCACGCACGCACGCACGCACGCACGCGCACGCGCACGCGCACGCGCACGCGCACGCGCACGCGCACGCGCACGCGCACGCGCACGCACACGCTCACGCGCACGCGCACGCGCACGCGCACGCGCACGCGCACGCGCACGCGCACGCGCACGCGCACGCGCACGCGCACGCGCACGCGCACGCGCACGCGCACGCGCACGCGCACGCGCACGCGCACGCGCA